TTTTTTGCACGCTCCTCAGCAGAATCGGCTGGTCGATTCGATGAACACGCGCCGAGCATATCGTATATGGCCTGTAAGATTAAAACAAACAAAACCGAAGCACACACAATAAATATACTATAGAGATTCAATGGAACATACACATTTACACTCACACACCCACGCATGCATGTAGTGTAGTATGTGTAATAAAAACTATAGCTTTATATGAACACACAACACAGCTCACCTATAAATTAATGGGCGCAGACATACATAAATTAATAAGTAGTTTGAGCAAACGTGAACTGAGGGCATAAATTAAAAGCATAATTACAACATTTGTGTGTGTACAAGAGAAAAGAAGGAAAAAGCAAATTTTTCGTGTATAGAAAGTTAGCTGGTATTTTTTTCTTTTAATTACTGTAGTAAATAAAAATGGCTTTTTAACGTTGTAACTCAAATAAAATGGCAAACAAAAAGGCACAACATGTCTGCAGGTGTTTGCGTCACATACTACGAGTACATACATACATACATACATACATACATATATATCTGCAATAATATATACTAGTATTTTACTACCTGAACAATTTTCGTCATTTCTTGTATGTCAATTACGCCATTACCGTCTACGTCGTACATGCGGAATGCCCATTTGAGCTTCTCCTCGGGAGTGCCACTCGATGTAACGTCTATAGCAAGAAGAAATTCCTAGAAAATCGTATGCAATTGTAAAATCACGCTCGCATAATTTAAACAAAAAAAAAAGTACATAGTACTAAAAAATATTAGGATACGGGCAAACATTGAAAAATAATCCTTACATAGAAAACATTTTCATACACACGCATACTTACAAATCGTGCAGTATATATATATATTTTTTTTTTTTCAATATAAAAGCCTACCCACTAAACATTTTTTGTTGCTGGCAATAAGAAAGCGTGTCGCCCTCGGAAACAAATTTATTGCCGGTAATATCGCCATTTTATCGATTTACTATTACCAGTCGCTCTAAAACGTTCGCCGAAGGCAACTCGCCTGGGCGAGTCGTTTTCTTATTACCTGAATGAGTCGTTTTTTGTCGCTTCAGGAGATATTTGAAATAATTTTATTTAAAACTTCATTTATTTTTTGTATGCAAGATTGGAACTTAGAAACGGAATTAATTCTTTCTTTCGCTAAGGGGCTTCTTATTTTTTTCAATCCTGTGCTTGGTTTGGATAATACTGTTGACGCGAAATTTAGAAGTTTGGGAATTTTTGATGACTTATTTATTTCAAAATTGACATGAACGAAATAATGCTGCCGATTTGTCACCACGGCAATAAAACGGTGAGGCGCCTATTTCCCATGTTTTGCATGGTGGGTAGGTTTTATTAATTCCCTTAATTCAAGTTGACATAAACGTTTTAACAGGTGGCAACCCTCCTACATGTAGTTTTGAAATTAAGCCCTTTCAGAACCATTTCGATTGATACGCGGATTTGTAGGTAAATCAAATTTTAAAGGGTTATTCTCATATTCCGTAGCTATAGCCGAGTGGTTAGAGGTGAGTACATCCACTCCCTAAGGCCAAAGTTCGATCCATGGTTAAAGCAATCCCTCAAAGAAGTATTGAAAACGGATTTTCCATAAAATCAGTCGCTGTGATGTAGTGGTTAGAAGTGCGCACTACCATTCCGCAGGTCTAGATTCGAGCCCAGTTATTGCTATTCTTATATTCCAAATATGTATACAGCTCGCCTCATTTTAAAGATACATATGTATGTATGTACATATATGCACATTATTTTCCTTCAAAATCTGGGCTTACATATATACATACATATTTGTATGAATTTACATGTAATCTTTAGAGAAGCTTCGTTTTAAAGTTATTTTGAAGAATGGTCGATTTTAAAGAAAATTTGTGTAAACGAAGGCACTAACATAGATACTTTATTTCTTATGCGGCTTTTTATTAAACAATACAAAAAACATACTACATATAAAATTTGTGTCACTTGAAGATGCACAGTATACCCGACCACCGTACAGGGCAACGAAAAAAAAATTCGCCGTACACCCCTGACTTGGAAAGTATTTTTGCAAGGAATTTCGAACATTTTTCCCGAACCTGCGGGTCTCTACATTTTTCGGTGACACCTATATTCGGCAATACAAAGATTTTTTTTAAATAGTTCTGCTGGCATAATCGAAATGCTTCCTTATCAAAAGTTTAATGATTTGTTGTGAGCTTTAATTTACTGCTATTAGAGTGGTATGTTAGACCGATAAGAACTTATATCTGGTGGATAATTACTAGAATATGGTAATTGAACTCAATGAACTTTGGCACAATTTTCTCCTCGAAACAACCACATCGATACATCATACTCTAAAATCCGACTGTAAATGCCCAAGATATGACGAAAAATGTAAAAAGGCGAACTTACGTTCGGTAAAAAAAAAAAAAATTAATTGCCTTGCAAAGATTGTACATATAGTCTATAGATGTACGGCGAACTTATTTTTCTGTTTTTAAGTTGGTAGGATTTACATGCGTATGCTTTTGTATCGATGATTTCCCTCTGTGGCTATTTATATATTTTTATTTGATAAGTCGTAATAAAGTTGCTAATAAGTGTTTGTTTGTTTGTATGTTTTTATTATTCCGCCCGAATCAGTATCAACGACAGCCAGCCTATGCACGTTCATACCTACATACATATGGACATGTACATGATGTACAGGCCTATATTGCACAATATCAATATTGTCTCTGCGACGAAACTTTTTTTTCATTCACTACTCCCAATGTTGTTTTTGGTTTTTTACTATTTTCCTGTTATGTCAATATAAGTACATATAGGTAGCTGTTATTTTTCTTTTTTTCTTGGTTTTATTTTTCTCATTTTGTGTGTATGTATGTGTGCTTTTTGTTGTTTTTCTGGCTGCATAAAATCAATTACATCACTTCACCTCATCTTTTCAACACAAATACACACATCTAGTCGCACAATAGTTTCCTCGACAAGAGGCACCGAAGAATGCAGGTGCACGGGGGTGGGCCGAGTAGAAAGAACGTCAATTGAATAGTGATTTAAGTGAGCTGAATATGTGGTGGGAGTGGCGCACGGCGGTCGTCGGTGGTAGGTGGTCGGTGACGACCGGCGGCGCTGGGTTAATCGTGCGCGCTGAAAGAAATGTTTACAGAAATAAATCCATTTAATGAAGGAATTAAAACAAAGGCGACACACAAGTATCCGCACTGCGTTTTTCGCATTGTTTTCCTTTTAAAATAAATATTAAAAAGCAAAAACGATTATCACATAACACCACCACGGCACGGCCGTGACGTCCCCTACACCAACAGTGATAGCTGCAGCAGGCAGTAGGATTCCGGGATCCCGCAAACTTACATGTACCGAAATCCCGGGATTACAGCTCCGGGATGCCGAGATTTTTACTTAGTCATTTACGGAATGAAAGAGATTTTGAAAACGAAAAAATTAATTAATTTGAGATGAAAAACGAGATATACAGAATACCAAAATTTTGATTCAAAGTGAACTTGAGCTATGTATTTGCACTCGGACGTGAATTTCAGAACCTGCCTGAATAAATGTACTTGCTCAAACATTTTGTGGCAAGAACTGTGTAATAACGAAACATCTGGTAGCAATTGAAAGCACAACAAGATATTACAGTGTGGAAGGGTTGTTCCTCATTTTAGTTTGTTAGCGTTTGGTGGAAAATTAATTTCTGAAGATATTAGCCAGGGCTTTTTACAATTAATATAGATATTTAGGAATACTATTAAAGTATTTACACATTAAATTTCCGATGGAGGTGCATTATGCTCCCTGTAAGACCAAAAACGGTGACAATGAATCTGTAGGCGAACCTACTGTTAAATGCAAAAGTTGTGATAAAGTCGAAACCCCGACTATTCCCGGGATTAGAATTTTTGCATCCCGAAATCCCGGAATTGTTAAAATTCTTCGGTATTGAATGCCCTACTAGCCAGTAACACACCCAGTAGGCAAACAATCAGGTGTTCGAGGACTCGAGTAGTTCAGCAGCACTTAACCGCAGCAATACGAGTATGTATATATGAATGTAGTGTTGACGACAGCAGCGAACAAACGACAATGAAGGGGGTATAGCTATAGAGCAGCAGCATTTATGCGATGAAACACGGCAGCAACAACAACAACTTGAAACCAAAGCACATCATTTACTGGACATAAACATATATACAAATAATGTGTGCGTTTATAGACGTAGTACATACATTCATATGTACTAAAGTTTTTAGTTTACTGTCGCATATTTTTATTCTATCACTTTGCACTACAGACAGTGGTGTCCATATACATACATACATAGAAACACGAGTTCTTGGCAATTTATTTTTTAATCGTTTTTTTTTTTTAAACAAAAATATAGTTAGTACCAGGGACCGTAAAGATTAGGATCTTTATAACAAAAATCAAAATTTAACCGTTAATATTGTATTTATATTTTCCGATCAAATTTTGATTGGTATTTTATGATTTTTATTTGTTTCGATAGGTTTTTGATCGTTGCTATACATCGTTGAATAACATTTATTTTTGATCGAAAAAACCATAATCACAAACCAACAA